ATAATATATAAATAACATTAATTATGATTTTTTAAATTAAGAAGCCCATTAAGTCTTGAAATCCTCAACCCACCAACCCATCACATCTATTAAATTGTAATATTTAATACATGTGTAGTTCAAATATTTTATATTGCAAACAAGTCCTTTTAATTTGTCTTGTTCACAAAAAAATGCCCCAACTCTTATGTTCAATTCACAAAAAAAATGCCCCAACTCTTATGTTCAAGTGCACGGTTCATGTACTCAGAGGCGAACCTACATAGGGGCCCGTAGGGGCACGGGCCCCTATAGAATTTTTTAGTAATATAATATGTATATATGTTATATGTATAAATGTATTACTAGTACAGAGCCCGTGCGATGCACGGGTTGCACAATTTTAAGGTCATTTATTCATTCTTATAATTATATAAATGAAAAAAAAAAAATGTACGGGATATATATAGTACGTGACCTGTAATAGGTCAAAATGTGAACACGGGTGATGCACGGGGTGCACAATTTTAAGGTCATTTATTAGTGCATACCCCGTGCGATACACGTGATACATATAATAAATCAATTATTTCTATAGGACGTGTACGTCTAGACAAAAAAAACAATAGGCTTGGATCATCCATATTTCACATCTTTTAATAAGTGGCGTTTATTTAAGCCAATAAATAACATGTTAATTAATATATAATTCCGCTAACACGTCATACTAATATTTATTTGATTTTAGAATACATATTTATTCATTGATATAGAAAAAAATAAAAATTTTATTAATTATTGTTCACCATATAATACTCAATTATTATTTTATTATAAAATTTACAGTCATATAATGTAATTATTATTATTTATAAAAGTTATAGAAGTAGTCTTCTTTATGTAATGAAATTCAAAATGAAATTTTGAGTATAAATGTTTACAAAATACACACATGTTTTTTAGAATTGTTTCTCATAATAATTCTTTTTTTTAAAAAAAAATGATTTAGCAATTGCCAAAAAATAAATCCCTTACATAATCAAGAGATT